CATCAACAGAATCTTGCGAAGCCACGGAGGGAGCGTGGGAGTTGGTCGCGGACGACACAGAGGAGGATTGGCCTAAGCTACGAGCATCAACCCTGAAAACCTCATCAACTGCACCGGAGGGGGGAGCGCTAGGCTGCAAACGAATGGGGGGCTTCCCTCTACCCATGAGCGGCCACACTTCAGCTTCTACATCATCGTCATTTCCCTCCCCTCCCTCCTCTGCTACCTCTAGCTCTATCGGCAGCGGTGGTTGCGGCGGAGGGAGTTCAGACGGCAGCGCTTCCCACGTCACATCTCTAGTCTCCTGAATGATCCCACCCCTCGTCAACACTTTATGGCAATCGCGCGGGTGGTCTCTCGAAGGGCCGACATAGAAGCAACTCTCACCCTTCGGCAGCAGTTTAGAGGGTCGCTGCCACCTGCAGTACGCCGGCTTCAAGAATGGATACGGTCTAGCAGGACGGGCTTCACCATACCACATCTCATACGGCGACTTCGAGTCAGGGTTCGCACTGCAAGCTGTGTGGTTCAAAGCCTCGCAAGCCCAATGCATTGATTCAGCCCAGAGCCTATTAGTCTTGAGCAACTGCACATGCCCAAACAAAACCTTTGCCTGAATACGAGCCGCCATCGCGGCCTCCTCTATTAATCCCAAGCCACGTTCAGCAACACCATTATATTGTGGAGTGTGAANTCGCACTGCAAGCTGTGTGGTTCAAAGCCTCGCAAGCCCAATGCATTGATTCAGCCCAGAGCCTATCAGTCTTGGGCAACTGCACATGCCCAAACAAAGCCTTTGCCTGAATACGAGCCGCCATCGCGGCCTCCTCTATCAATCCCAAGCCACGTTCAGCAACACCATTGTATTGTGGAGTGTGAGCCGGGGTGAACTCCTGCTTAATCAAGAGCTCATTGCACACGGACGCGAATTCCCCCCAGAAAAACTCATTGTCAGATCTAACAATCTCGACCAATGACGGCAAACCATCAGCACGCACACTCGCAAGAAAACTCCTGAAAGCCTTGCCAGCGTCTGATTTCTACTTGAGGAAATGTAACTACGCACGCCTCGTGTAGTCATATTTTATAATCATGGGGTAGTATTATTTACCCCCGATGGACGCGACGCCCTTCTTCCCTCCCAGGTCTACAAAAATTCTGCCCAACTTCTTAGTCTATATGATGTATTTTTAGTTTCTCGGAATCCCTTTCTTCNCAGGTCTACAAAAATTCTGCCCAACTTCTTATATGATCTATTTTTAGTTTCTCGCGAAATCCCTTTCTTAATCGCTTTCGACATCGAGCAACCCGTGCAAGGATGCATGGTACCAGTCAGCTCAACACTCAACTGCTTTGCAGTAGTACGAAGCAAGCCTTCATGCGCATGGGCGTAAATGTTATGGAACTCGTTGATATCCATCTTGCTTGCATGCTTGGGGTTTGAGGGAGTGAGAGCCAACACCGACCCAACAACAGAGTCATCACTCATCCTCATACAAGATAGGCGGTCCCAACAAGCATCCCATTGACGTTCTGGAACACAACATTTCCACGGAAGGAAGTCAACACTTTGTCGGGCCCACCAAGGCGGTTCCAGGAGCCGTCAAACTCTGCGCTAGGAGAGGTTGTATCCCACGTTGGGAGAGTACAGCACATTCTTCAACTGCACCGAGAACTCGTTGTCAGCAGACACGAACACCAAGTCTAGAGTGCCAGTCAGTGCTACCTCACACATTACGCCACCAATTCCTTTAACTGTCATGTGGCAAGACGTCACATCCCTCAGGCAAGCAAGAGAATCTGTCATGTGAAAGGCAGTGCCTGTGTCTGCATACCAATCTTCGATACAGCACTCCTTCTGCGCAGCAACCAACCAGTCGCTCATGAATTTAGCACCGCTGTTGACTTGCTTCATCACGGAGTCGAACATCGCTGCCATACATTCAGCACTACTCCATTCACTCATGCCAGACAGAGACATCAAAACCAAGTCGGATTTCTCCTTGGTGGCATCATCTTCTTCCTCGGACGGTCCGGCCTGTGAGAAGGATGCGCGATCACTCGAGAGAGGCAGTCCTTCTTCACGTGCCCCTCTAGACCACACCTCCAACACTTGCCCTTAAAATGTTTCTTTTTCGACTCGGAAGCAGGAACGACAGTTTTAGACTTGCCACTACTCTTGCGGGGCGCCTTACTCATCAGTGCCACCCCCTCGTTCTTATTACTTTTCCTCTGAGTCAACAAGTCAAGGTGCTTTTCTATCACTTTTGTCTGCACGAACACCGGGTCAGTGGAACCAAAAACGACAAGAGTCTCACGCAGTGTTTTGTACTCGTGTGGAAGAGCTTCAAGCATGATGTTGCATACCTCCCTGTCATCTTTCCGTACTTCGAGCATCTCCAGAACATCAAGAGTCTCACGCATAGCAGCAATAAATACTGCTGGGTTTTCGCTTGAACGCATGCGAAGCGATTTGAGCTTAGCTTCATGGACACGGATTTGACTCTGGCTCAGAGGAAGAAAGTGATTCTTCAGAGTGCGGAACGCCTTGCTAGCTGAACCAGCCTGCCTAACCATGGTTTTCAGAGAGTCTTTCTTCAAACAGTCAAACAGAAACCACCATGCCATTTCAGCCTGCTTAACCACACCCACACTGAATCCCTTCTCAATCAATGGAGTAAAGTCAAAACCAATCCCAGCAATCGGGATAATATCGACATCTGGAACAAAAGCTTCGTACAAATTATAGTGCCGGGCACTCAGCAGAAAATTCTGGGACCATGAGGGATAGGCTACGTCCGTCCCATCAAACAGAGGACCTTTGGGAACTTTGAAAAGACCCCCACCCAACCTGTCATCTGTGTTTGTGTCCGCCCCAGGAAGCAGGGTGTTTCCACTAGCGACACTCCCCCACCATTCGGTAGCAGCAGTAGGAGGGGGTGGAATTTGAGACCGGCTACGGAACGCTCCACTCTCAATTCCCATCGAACCTGAGTTTACTGCAGCAACAAAGGAACGATTAACACCTGCATGCGGGTTCAGGTCAGAGCCTAGAAGACTACCAATACCAAGCCGCATACTTTGAAGCGCCAAGGCTTTGGACGTTGCTATCCGTACCTCCCGCACTTCCCGAGACGCCAAGTCCTTGGGCAGCAACACCCCTACTTGCTCTCGCACCGGCAGCACCTGTAGGGTGCCGACCAGCATACTCTGGTCCGCCGCTTCCCGGCGCAGCAGGCGAACCAGAGGACTCCACATCCCTATCGCGTTGTTGACTCAAAAACGTGCTAACCATAGACGCTAGTTGAGACATCTGCGATTCCATTGACACAAGTCTCTCACCAACCCCCTGCGGCTTCTCGTCCGAAGACTGGTTGGCCGCAGGGTCTTCCCTGTCTGACATAGTAGTAAGAGTGATCAAGTCCACCACCGAGGCCCGAAGTCCAGGGACGCAGCTCGGGTACGCACCAGACAGAAGCCCAGAAACCAGTGGGACGCTATAGCGTGTTGGCAAACTCGTGGCTTGTAGAGAGAAGGTTGTTGGATAGTTGAGACTTGGTCTTATTAGTTGGTTTGGAATGGGAGTGGGCAAGGTGAGGGCGTGCAGCACCCCCATCTGCCCGATTGCAATACCCCGACAACCCGATCACGAATCACATCACACTATCCCGATTCCCCGATCACGGGTAATTGTACTCTTCCTACGAGCCACAAATACATCGGAGGAAAGCACAAACCACCAACAGATTGCCCGACAGAGACTTATACGAATGTTCCACAGCGGAACGTGCAGAACCGGAGTAACCTTCCAACGTCAGTCCCGCTAGTCAAGTCGTCCAATCAGATATACCCCGCCATTGAGTCGATACACCTGCCGCTACCACGAACAAACCCGCCCGATGAGATCCGAGCAAACAGGCCAGACAAGCAATCTAAGCATAACCGCAGCAGTACTTATAGCGGTAGGGGGAAAGATGCGCCGCGAGGACCGCACAAATGTTCAGTCTCTTCAATCACCTTCGGCCTTGTCCAAATCCGCGAAGAAAGGTCTGCTCCTCTCCATCAGGCGGTCGACTTGCGTCAACCTGCTAGCCATCTTCTCGGTGTCCTTCTCCTTGGAGAAGCCCGTGATTTTCGGCAACGAGCACGCCTCTCTCAGCAGGCTCGCCGGCCACTTCTCATACCTTTTGGTGCGGTTGCGGTCGATAGATTCTGCAGCGCCTGGAGGGTCTTCACCGACTCCGGCGCCCCTGCCGACGCGACGTCGCTGCCACTTCCTCTGGAGCCCCCGATATCGCTTCCCCTCGAGCTGCCGCCAACGCTTTCCCTCGAGCTGCCGCCACCGCTCCGCCTGCCCATCTCAGGTCGCCATCCGGATCCATGGTGAACGAGTCATCCTCGCTGGCGCTCCCAACATCGATGCTGTCGTCGCCGCCTCGCGCTTGTTCATCGTCGCAGTCAGCAAAAGCAGGGTCCTGCATCACGACCGCCAATTCCTGGGCTCTTGTCTGCTTTCCGTTTCCCGAGGAGGAAGGAACAGCACTGGCCGCCACCTTACGGGGGCGGCCAGCTCCATCCTCGCTCTGAGTGTTGGTGGCGGCAGCGCCTCCTGTAATTCCGGGTAGAAACTTCTGGCTGCTGGGCAGCAAGCCTCCACCGCCTACGGCGGCCCCAAGCGAGCCGTTTTGACTGAATTTTGCCGGGGAGTTTCCTTAACGCGAGCGTCCTTAAAGCGGGCTTGACTTATTAAATACCTGGAAGTACCGTGGTGTTGCGTATGCGTAGGCCCAGATAGTGTGGCAGAAGGGAATTGCAGTGTTTATCGTCGATTTACTCATCGGCCACAGAAAATGGTCTATCGCACGTGATGTTTGTTCGGGCAGCGCATAGCCCTCGTCGTCTCTCTGGGTTAGCCTGCATGGATTGACGCGTTCTCTGTGCGGTGTGGTGGGTTCGATTTCGTCCTCTTGCCACTTTTGTTTGACGTGCACCAACTGTAGGAGGCACACTCAGTCATGGTCAGCATGACGGTCGCCCAGCAGATGTCTCCGATCAGGGACGCTGATGATGATGTGGCCATAAGGTGGACGCCGGCGTCGAAGGTCTTTTCCGCGAGCACTTTCCTTGGCTTCTTGACCTCTGGGTAGAGGTCAAGTCCCTTGCCCCCACCCGTTCGATGATAGCGACATTGTGGGCTTCGCTGGCGGATACCCAGTCTACACTCAGAAAAGGAAAGGGGTCAACGAAGGAAGCCTCGAACTTCACCTTGGACCGATTTGCCAAATGGCCGCAAAGAACTGAAGGCGTGGATAGATCATGAGGATATCCAGAAGGTGGCACGGACGCGTGGTGGAAACATCGAACGAACCAGACATCATCTGTGTGGCGTCAACCTGATGGATGAGGTGCGTTTCGGCTACCACTAAAAAAAGCCATCGTACTTGTACACAAGTCATGATAGGCGTCATTATCTAAAAATAGCACCCCCACTGATCCCAAGGAGCGAGACCGAGCGCCTTGAGCGTGTGTTGCCAGCGACACCGGGGCGCTACCCGAGACTCGTTCCTCTTGGAGGAAAAAGCCACCCACTATGGTTGTCCGTAGTTTTTTTTCTGGGTTGGGCTGACGTCACGTTCACGGGTTGGTATCTTGTTTGGCGTTCAACTGCTGTCAGTGAGTGCTGCAGCAGTACACCCTCTTCACTACTCTAAACCCGTGCACCCCCTTCGCCTTCATGTTCCGGATGTTGCTCCTATTCCCCATTGATCACCAGGAGGTCTACGGCGTTTTGTGGCGAAGGTGAAGGAGGCGAAAATGATCATGCTTCCTGGAGAAGAAAGCGAGGGCGCTGGCAAGTCTGGTGGAGATGAAGGCGAGGGAGGTGGCGAGCCTGGCGGGAATGGGTCAGACATAGAAAATGATGAGTTTTTGAATGAGTTTTTGAGTCGGCCTGTCTATCTCTCTGGGGAATCTACGTCGGAAGGGATTGGCGAGCCTGGCGAAAGTGAGTCAGAAATAGAAGATGTTGAACCGGCCTGCCTTCCCTGGAGAATCTACTTCGGAAGGGATTGCGGAACAACCACTACCCATGCGGGAGGGTATGACATCGGGACACGAAATGAAAACTGATGAGTTGGTTCCGGAGTGTACGTGAGCCACGTCGGGGACCCGTCTTACAGGCCCTCGTGTTTAGGGTAAGAAAAAACATGTTTTGGGCGTGCTCGATGAAGCTCGAAGGCTTAAGTGTTTGGAAGTAAGAGGCTGAAGTTTTAGGACGTTTTGTTTCCGTGGGTACCAAGCTGTCAGCGATGGGCTATGGTAAGAACGAATGCTGACCTTTCTTCGCGTAAGGACATACCGGGGGAAGGACGTACTTGGGGGGGGGCGGCTATGCGCTTTGAAATTTCGTTCCCGTTCCCCTTTATTTGTTCGTAGGTGTGGGAAGGGATGCACGTAAAAGCAACTAACCCGAACACAGGTACCCCGGCGGGACGAAATAATTATTCGAAAGTAAACATAACCTCACAGAAAGACTACCCGTTCGAGATATAACCT